ATATATATATATATATATATATATATTTTATTAAATAATGAATTATGATGAGATTATATTGTGATGTGTTTGTATGTACTTTGCATATAGATATTTTCTTTTCTCACTGTATAAACTGTGGATATTTTAGGTGAAGAAGATCCGGCTACGAGTGACATCTAGAATGTCAACAGTTAAATTATGGGAATGCTCTGATAATGTGACATCGGGGCAGAGGATTTCTAGGACAGAATATTTATATGGATTTGGTATTGTAATAAATGTGTTTAAAATTGTAAACTCTTAAATTTTACCTTTCAAGTTTTATTTTTCAGTCATTTTCTTATATTAAAGAAAGAACAGTTTCGAAGTTTTATGTGAACCCTTTTACGAACCCTTTGAAAGTTTATTCTTCTTAATTAAATTATATTATATATGTGTTGGGGTAGTAAGGGTGTCACAGGTTGTCTAATTATTGTGATTAAATGATGTTTATGATAACACGTGTGCCCAATTATAGTGGACACAAGCGGTATGTGGTTGCACGATTTTTGTTGACAAGAAGGCCACCTTGGCTTTCCTTTTTGGAGTTTTTTTTGTGATCTCTAGGGTTGTGAAGGTTATCTGTGGGTCGCAATTGCATTGACATTCATGTATGATCAGTTGTTTAAAGTTGTACAACTAACACCAAGTAAGATGGTCGATTATGCGAATTTTCTTCAATTGAATAACGTTGTCTAAACTTTGTTAGTTATTGTATTTACGAAATTAACATATTATGTTGTCACAAACTTGGATCTACGAGAATTTTCATTCTATTGGTTTGAAGGCTCTTGTTACTTTTTACTCTAAGGTAGATCCATGATCGATCCATTGAACAACTAGAACATTAATATTGGTTGTCACATCTCGAGGCTAACTAGATGACCTCACCATAGATGTTGCTTGTTGCATGTCATAAGATGACTGCTATATAGGATGATCATTTCAAACCATCTTTTATTTTTTAGTTACCTTAGATGGGGGCCCATAATGTACCTGCATTCTCTAGAGGCAATATCGCATTAGTATGGCTACATCCATACTATTTCTTTTTGGTGTTGTTGATTAGATGTAGAAACAGTTGAGAGGAAAACCTATCAGTCTAGTTAGAGGTCTTTGGTATAAAGCCATTGGTGAGGCTACATGAGAATTGGATGATAGAATTAGAGATCAATACCCATATCTATTCCCAAGTAAGCAAATTTTTTGGGATAATGTTCTTTTTGTTTGAGAGAATTGTAACTATGTATTTTTGCTTTTATGCATGTTTTATATTATATTTCTTGTGTGGTGTTTTTAGTTGTCTTTATAGAACTCTAAGGGTTAAAGAATCCTTGAGAGGCAAGTTGTTTAGAGTTTTTTTTAAGTCAATGTAAGGTTTAACTAAGAAAAGGGAGAGATATATAAGGATTTTAGAGACAAGAACTTCATAAGTTCATTTTTAAATATTTTAGAGAGATATTTTAAGAGCTTTAGAGTCAAGGAAAACTTTTTTTTTTTTGATTCCACCAAAAGCACCTAGATCCTCCCCTGAAGTTGAGTTGAAGTTGTCGAATCACATTCAAGCCTTGAGGGTCTTGAATTGTTAGTGAGAAGTTTACCTTATAGGGTTTCTAATTCTTCCCATTTTTCTTTGATTTATTGCTTCTAGGAAGAAAATTGAGGTAAATGAAGCTTGTCGTTTAATACTTTAAGTTGAATCGTGTTGTAATCTTTGTTATTTAGCTCATTGGTCGCTTGAATTGTTGAGTTTTGAAGATGTGTTGAAATGGTGAAGTTGGGGGTTTTGAGTTTAAAGAACTAAAATCCCAATCTTGTTAGATTCTCAATGGGTAGTTTTTGAAACCATTTTCAAGTTATTTGAGTTGTTTTTGGTCAATTTGATAGGTTGCATACAAGAGATGGTGGCTAGATGGGTTATGAGAGCACATGTACCATGGGGCTGCATCGTGTTCTCGCTCAACAACATGTTGCTTGTTGAGAAAGTCTTCATCATTGGAAGGATAAAACCAAGATTTTGGGTATTTTTGCTAAACAACACTATGGTCACTTTGGAACAATGCATTATCATGAAGAGCACATTGAAGCTC